GGGCAGTGAGCAATGGGAGAACCTCAGAAAGGCTCAGCCAGGGTCAGTACAAGGCATGGCAAAATTTGATTGAAAACCAGGCAGAGCCCATTCTTGCTTTTTTTTGGATTGAGCAATTGGTTTTTAGTATCCTGCAGAGACTGTCTTAACTCAAGAGACCTCATGCACGCACAGTTGGCTCTGGATGGCTGTTGAGCAAGAGCTGGCTGTCCTCTAAGGCAGAGGCAGCCATGGAATTTTTGAGGAAGGGTATGGAGAGATATTATCTATATTTTTTTAAGCTTTCCATGGGTTTGGAGAATGGAGGTTTAAATCAGAAGTTGAAGGACTCAGTTGCAGTTTTCTTGTTAAAAATTTACACTATTTCAGTCTCTCAGATGAGAGCAGAAGGTATTAGCAGCAGAGCTACTGCTGGTTAAATCTTATCTGTCAATCACTTGCCATTTGAAGTCAGAATTCCCATTTGTAGATAGCTATACTGGTTCTAATCTCCCTTTTCCCTGTCCTTTGAGTCCACCCATCTTTCTGTCCGTCTTTGTGCAGGAGCAGGCGTGAGGGGTGGGAAGGACCTGCTGCAGGGCTGGACAAACGTACTCTGCTCAGGCTGTTTGTATCAGGCCGGGCTGGGTAGGTCTTGCTGGTGCTGAGCGAGGGAACATGGTTTGAACCTGCAGGCACTTGTACTGAAATAAAGTAATGTGCCTTTTTTTGCTCTTTCCTGGGCATGAAGTGGATGTGGGAAGGCAGCTATGCCTCTTCCCTGATACCTCTGGCTAGTGGGTTTTTAATGCTGTCTCTAGGGGGAAAAAATGCTATTTCTGTGGGGTAAAGGCCTTTCACTGCCTTCGTCTCACTGCTCTTATGATTTGCCTCAGTGTTTCCTAGTACAGTGAGTTTCCAAACTGCATGACAGTGGTCTGCATCCCCATCCCTTTATCCTGCTTCACACTCCACCTATCTTTTACCCTGAAAATCTACTCTGTCAGAGGTCTTTCTCCACAGCTTGTCTTTCTCCACCCTCCACTTAAACTCTGTTTTTCCCTTGTGCGCTGGGCTGCTGAGATGGAGTGCTGACCATGGAGAGGCTGTTTTACTTATATGGTCTGCCTTATTCAGGGAGGAAGTTGATGTTAGGATAATCACGCCATTTCAGAGAGGCTGCTTGTCTCATTGAAGCGTAACAAGCACTGACAGGACACAGGGGAGAGTGTGTGTGCGTGGTGCACACGTGTGAGGCAGGGAGTGTGACGGACTGAACCAGGAGGAGCTGATTCCCAGCAAGGCACTGGAGGCAGAATTAGGAGTGGTTAGAGCTGGTTTCAAATGCATCTCCTTCACATCTGTCTCTAGGGCAGAGAAAAATTCAGTTAGCACCCTTTGTGTGTTCCCTCGAGCCCCCTGCGCCTGCCGCATTTTCCTCTTCAGGCTTTCTCCATCCCTGGCTGAAACCATTTAAAATGTCATCATCTCTCTGCTGGTCCTAAATTGGCCATCTGATGTGGTTTTAATGCTCTATTTCCTATGCCAACCAGACTTCAAAACACTCTCCATTAACTTGCAGGGCTGGCAGCCTTACATCTAGGACGGGTGATGTTACCTCAGAGTACAGGATGGGGACTCGGGTTCCCCGAGTTTGATTTTCTTTGTGCCCAAGGGCATGTCCCTTCTTTCTTTGTTCCTGCCTGCTTGTCCATACCACAGGGCTCACAATGTCAGCCTCTTTCCACAGTGTTGAGTATGTTTTACTCCCACCCTTTTGAGTTTGGGCATTGTGTCTGCTGCATCTCCATGGGGCTGGTGAGGGGCTCAACCCTTCTGTCCTTGCATCAAGCAGCTCCAGAAATTCCCACATAAGCAAAATCATTTGCAGAAAGGTGTTTCTAGCCTATTAAATTAAATTACCTTTGTCTGCCCCCACCATGACCCCGTTACCTTTCTTTATGTCTCTCCAGCTTGGAATACCAAACATCCATGGACTCATGGATTAAGACCTTTACAGGCACAGTTTCATCCTGGTTTGCCTCACCTGCATGCACAGCCTGCTGCCCTCACACTGTGCCCCCGTTACAGCTGATGGCCCAGTTCAGACATGTCATGGAGTCTATCAGCCCCCCTGGTAGCCTGTTTAGGGACTGGAGTGTGTGTAAGCTGTAGGGAGGAAACAAATTCCCCTGGCCAGAGCAGGCAGCAGTAGTGCTGGCGTTCGAGGGCAGCAGTGCTGCCGAAGGGGATGACTATCGCTGCAGTAATGATGGAGAGCAGAGCCACTCGAGTGTGGCTGCCTTGCAGCATGTTGCTGACTTGGCCTGCCGGGGAGTCCTTCAAGCCCTGGTGCTTTGTCACATAGGCTCAGTACATCCGAGCAAGCCCCACAGCTCCCTGTGTGCTTGCTTTCTGCCTGCATCCCTATGTTGGGGGGCGGGATCGAAAAGGTGTAGGTGTACAGGGAAAGCTAGGGGGAAGCCACTTCTCCTGCGCTCCCCCTGCAAACTTTTGGAAATATGTTGCTAATGGGTCTGAGAGAAAACCCTCTGAAGAGTTATTTTGTCGAATTTGTACACTTATTTCGGTCGTTAAGGTGGAAAGCAAGGGATTTTCATGCATCTTTAAGGGTAAATCTCAAGATAACTCCAAGGATTGGAGTTGTTGATGATCCCTCCTTGATTATTATTAGTGATTCTAATCTTTCTGGTGGAAAATGAGCAGAAATGACACCCTCTTGTCTCATATCTATTGCTGATTTCTGTGAACTCTTCTTGTCAGGCGATGCAAAGGAGATTCCCATAATGGAATCATTCTTGGATGTAAGTGGAAAGAGCGCTGAAAACTGTTTAAGATTGGTGTTTTGTTTAATTAGATATTGGCACTGCTTACTCATTACTGACATAAAGCTGCAACTCCCGTCAGGCTAATGGCATTCTCCTCTTCTTGGAGCCTTTCTTTGTCTTTACTTTGATGGCCAGTGCAGAGAAGTGATGAAGTGAATCTTGGTCCACTGGAAGATCCTTCCCATCACCAGAGCCCTAACTAGGTTTTGTAGGGTTCACATGCCTGGCGATGGTCTCTGGCTGGCATTCCGCAGTACCAGAGCAATGCACGCAGCTGGGAAAGAAATGCCAGGAAAAGAGCATGTGAAGTCCTGAGATGGGATGTTTCACACCATTACAAACAATTGCATGGCTGCGATTTTCCACGTGGCAGATGTTTTGGGTAAGTCTCAGTGTTTGGGTGCTCAATGGCTCTGGTTTTTGGAAAATAACCAGTAGTCTGCCTTTGAATACCATCCTGTTGCAAATGTTTCATGCTGGGCTCCCTTATGGCTGTGTTTCCAAAGCTGTGCACGTCCCTTGAAGGTCACAACATGGAGCAAGTGTGGAATTTCCTTTAGAAATAAACATAATTGCTGATTACACTTGGCATTGGGGAATTAGTGAATGAGTTTGGTTGATTAATGGGGTTAAAACAAAACATTTGAAAAAGGAAGACGCTGAAATCATGACCTGCTTTTTTATTTGTTTGAAGAAGTTTCCCTGATACTAATTTCATTAGATTAGCAGGGAGGACTCTGCATGCAGATTGAAACCCACTGAAAAAAACAGACTTTTTTCCTCTTTTTTATTTTCTTGAAATTGGTTCAAATTGCGTTCAGAAGGGACAAATTGAAGCTGAATATTAGGAAATGTTTCCTGATGTCATAGTGTAATAGAGCAGAAGAACCTCTCATGTCTGTAATAGAAATGTTGCTTGTGCAATTTATAGAACTGTGCAGAATAGGGGAGGGAAGAGTCCTGGGGCTAGCCCTGCAGGCAGCTTGGTCACCTCTGCCTCTCACAGTGATGTGATGCCACTGGTGTCAGAGCAGGTTTATAAAGGTAAAATCTACTTCATGCAACAGGATTGTGAATTGAAGTGAAATATGTGAACAGGGGAAACTGTCAGAGTGCCACGGAGATGTCATATAAACCACTGAACTGTGAAATGTGTATTTGCCTCCTCCTCTTCCCCACAGTGTCTTTCTGGATGGTCTGACAGTTAAGGAAACAATAGCCCCAATTCTTATTTACGGCAACACCACTTTAACATGCTCTTACGATGCAGCAAGGCCTTGAAATCAGTGTAGCTGTAATCTCAGTCCACCTAAAGGTCTTCCCTATTGCCAGAGCTCAGTAAAGAGGCTTTAGGATAAATGAGATTGAAGTCTGGACTGTTTAATAGTCCATTTGTACAGCTGACATGAGATGCCCTAAAGGGGAGTGCCTTGCACAGAAATGAAGGGGCCTTTCCAGACAAAGGGAATTGTTAATGTTGGCTGCAGGGCTGATCACCCTTTATTTGATCTTACTGGGTGTAAGGCATGACTGTCCCTAGGAAAGAGAACTTTCACTGGGCTGCCTCAGCATCCTGTCCCTATTCCTAAGCTGCTTCATAGGATCACTGGGCCCCATGAGGTGTTCTGGCTCTGATAGGGATAGAACTTCTTGCAGGTATGCTGTTTCTTCTGCTCTGAAGGAGTCTCCACTCTTTCACCTGTAGGCCATCACTGTCCTCAAATGGCCTGTGAAATCTCCTTTGGAGAGTGAGCAAAGTGTAGACTGTAGAGTGTGTTTACACAGCTGATTGCTATGGATTCCTCTGACCTTTGAGGTAAGGGGAGAGACTGTGGGCACGTATGTGTGTGTGTGTGTGTGTGTGTGTGTGTGTGTGTGTGAGACTCTTAGATGTGCTTTCAGGAATTCCTTGAGAGCCAACATAATACATCACTTCTCTATCACAGTCACAAAATGGGGGCAGGTGCCTTGTCTTGCCTTACCTTGCCTTGCCTGATTGTCCCAGTTCCTGAAGTAATTGTCCTGGTTCTCTGACTCTCTTCCTCTTAGATTTTCCAGTGTTTGCACTGTGCTCCTACTCTCCTGATGTATGCTGCAGGAGGGAGGCAGGGTCTTGTTTTGAGTTTGGTTCTAAGCATTAATGTTCTCCTTTCTCTTTTTTCTTTCTTACAGGTACCTGATCAATGTCACCTTTGAAGGCAGGAATTTGTCGTTCAGTGAGGACGGATACCAGATGCATCCCAAGCTGGTCATCATCCTTTTGACCAAGGAGAGGAAGTGGGAGAGGGTAGGAAATGTTTGGTAATTCTCAAACTGTGTCAGGGAAGAGGATGGAAGAAGGCTCCAGGCGAATAATACCCTCCACCTTTCTGGAGTTCTTGTTAAGGGCTGGCAATCTGCTTCTTGCATCCTGGACCACTGATATCTGCAATACTCAGGCTGCTGTCTTTTCCATGCAGGATGCCATTACATCCTTCTATTTGCATGCATAAGAAGTTCATCAGCTTCCTTTCTGTAACCTCTGAACATAAGTTTTCCAGCCTTTCAGAGGAGAGACCTCCTCTGTACCATGAGCTTGAATGGCAGAGACAGAAAATATTTCTCTGTATGGCTTGGAGGCAGTGAAGTTCTGTACGCTAAACAGCTATGATTGAGCTACAGCCACACTTATATGCCAGTGTTAACTGTGCTTGATATATCTGGCCAGTGTCATTTGCAATGGGACAGTGCATTAAGTAGGATGTGAACATGAGATCGTATCAAGTTGTTCAAAGATCCAAATTTGCATGTTTTGGAATATTTTGCATGCAACCCAAAGCACCATTTTAGAAATGGTGCAGATTTCTGAGTTAGTGTGAAGTTTTGGTTTGTTTCACCTCCCACGTAAATGTCAGTGGTCCAGGCTCAGAACAAGCTCTCCTGAGAGGTTTCAATTGAAGCAGAGGGGGTAGTTTGAGGGCTGGGAAAATGAAATATAAAAAAGTGATGGGGGTTAGAAGTTAGAGCAAAAGCACCGAGAATTCAGCAGAACACTGACAGATAGGAAGCAGAACTTGGTCTGGATGTGATCATGTGTATGGCTTAGAAAAATTGCCCCTTTGTCCCCACCAGGCACAGAAAGTCTTCTCTCCTTGGCTGCTTGTTCTCTGCATGGACTTTCAAGTGGTTTACATGGTAAAAGCAAGGAAGAAATTAATGGGGAAACAAGAATGAAATAGGGAGCTGTCATGAGAAGTGTGTTCAGAAGAGGGCCAGAGGAACAACTTTTGAAGGAACCTTCATTTGTGCCCAGCAGGCACTAAGGTCTCCCGGCAGTTGCAGGAGTTTGGGAAGAAGATGAAAGGCCCCAGCTTGTGCCTGGCTTCCAGAAGGATCTGTCTACCTCATGGTATTGGCACTATGCGGACCAGATGAGAGTGTGTCGTCTGGCAGAGTTAGAGGAGGACTCAGTGGGTCAGGAGTGTGAGGAAACATATGGCATGGCATTGGCATGTGTGGACAACTCTTGGACATAGTTGGAGACACACTGTGTAGATACTGCACAGGGGTAAGGCCTGCAAAGCTCAGGCTGCAGAGACCTCATGTCGGGCTCTGTCCATAAGTCAACTTCACTAAAGCCTTCCAGGCAAAGTCCAGGAGGATTTGTTCCTAGCTGTCACGAGATTTGTTCTCACCAGAGAAAACTCCATTGTCAGAGCACGAAAATGAGGCAATAGCAGCATGAATCCTGCTGGGGTTTATTAGCAAGGCTGGCTGTGGGGAATCTGTTGTGGGAATGCTTTGCAGTTTCTGGGGAGGCACAGCTAAATACAGTCGTGTTTTTATTTTGCCTGTCACATGCGTTACCCTATTGCACCCTTAGTGAGGGCTTGGTGGCTTCCATGAGTGGTAAGAGGGATTGTTCAGTCTCTGAGAGTGTATCCTTGGTCTCTCAGGTGAACCAAACAATTAATGGAAGGGATCCTGGTGATCTGGAGGGATGGGGTTAGACTTGGGTCCTACCTGAGCCTTAATATCCATGGGGACTACTTGGTATCCATTAAACCAACCCTGTTCTTCATTTAGTAGGAGTTGGGGCTGGACTGAAATGAGGCTCTGATGAATAATAGTGGTAAGAAAAGCACAACGGGCATAAATGCTTTATCTTGAAGTAGGTGTCTCACTCAGTGAGAAGATCAGATTATTTTAATCCAGCTCTTAGCAGGTTGAATTTTATGCTGGACGGTTCTTCCTAGAAAACACAGAAGTCATCTCCAAGATGTTCTGATCACAGACAAAAACCTTTCATACCTGGAACCTCATGCTCTTTGTCCTAATTTTTTTTCCATTCAGCAGAAATGCAAACATTAAAATATAAGTGTGAAAAAAGAGATCATTGTGGCAAAGATCATAGTTTTGTTCCACGTTTTCAGAGAGTCAGGCAAAACAGAGTGCTGGCCCTTAACAACAGCTCCCAGGCAATGCCACAATACAAGCCAGAAATTATTCATATATTATTAGCACATAATCCCAATACCTTTATAAGTGCATTGCTTTACAGTGCAAGATTGTCCAAATTCTCATTAATTTTATATAAATTATGAAGATGCTTTGTCCTGGCAACTTTTCGGCAAACGCTCAGGCAGCAGGAGTCAAGAGATGAAAGGCTGCATGGGAAACACTGATTAGGTCCAGTTGTGTGCATTTGCTATAGCTCAGGCTTTACCTACATTACTGCACACTTTTATCCATAATCAGATGCTGTGCCTAGAAGGAACATCAAGAGGTCATTTAGTACCTCCCCATGCCCAAGGGAGGGTTCAACTAGACTAAATTATTCCTGACAGATGTTTGTGTCACCTGTTCTGAAAGACCTTCAGTGCTAGAAGCCCCATGAAGTCCTGAGTCAATCTCTTCCAGGGCTTCTTTCTCCTTACCCTGCTAGGTTTTTCTGACGTCTAACCTAGATTTCCCTGGCTGCAGTTTAAGCCTATTAACACTTGGCGTCTCCCTAATGGACATAGAGAATTGTTTATTTTCTTCCTCTTCTTATCTTCCCTATGTGGGTTTGAAGGCTTCTGTCATGTTGTCTCCCAGTAATCTCTGCTGTAGATTAAACAAGAATTTGTCCAGTCTCTCCTGGTAGGTCATGTTTTCTAGTCTTCTGATTGTTTTTATTAGTCTCCTCTGGATTTAGTAATGAAATTTGCAGCTCTGTACAGCTGGGTGCAGTTGATTCTTGAAAGATGGCAAATAGAGAGGTACGTGCCATGGAGTACAGATACATAATGATACGTTTTAAACCAGGTGTGAAGTCTTCCGTTTTCTGAGCAGCAAAGATGCAGACAGTGACTGAACTGTTTCAGGATTTCAGGTCTATGAAATCTTTTGCTATTTTGATTTTTCATCCCAATTTGGGAATAAATATCTTCAAAACCTCACCAGTTATTTCAGAACAGGAATTCCTTTTCCAGAAGAGCCACAGCTGACCCCAGACTCTGTTGATGATAAATCCCCTCACAGGTCCTTCAGACAAGCTGAAATCTTCCAGGGCTGACAATCATGAAAGAATTTCTCAAGTAGAGAGACCATATTCTGCAAAGGGGTAGTAACCTGAGCTCTTCTGCTGTTTTAACCATGAGTAACGATTCCTTGTGATAAGCAAATGTGCTGCCTTTCATTCACTTCTCTGTTCTCTGCTCCTTTGGGGCAGTAGGTTGCATGCCTTTCCTCACTATTTTTTAATCCGTTAGTTAGGAGACCTCTTTGCTTCACTTGCCAGGCAGCCTAGATGTGCTTTGGGTGCCTAGATGCCCCTGCTGTATTTATCATAGAGGTGCAGGTATGCAGGTGGAGGTGGTGAAGGGGGTCTACCCTTATGCCCCATGAAGGGCCATGCCCCAGTGCAGTGATGAACTGGGGCCAGAGGTCTTACAGAGCGAGCCAGAGGCTTGGTACTATACTAGGTTTTGTGTTGGTGGGTTGTGATGTTTTGTGTGGGAAGAGTTTTCACCCAGGATTTTTCTTCACTACTTGCCTTTTCTCCTCTGCTCTCCTATAATCCCACATATGTTGAGGACTTATTTCTGGGTTCATGATCCCTTCATGAGAGCTAGTAAGTGCTGCTATCTCCGGCTCTTGTTCATATCCTCCTTCTCTACTGAGTCAGAGCACAGCAGTCCTGTCCCATTAGCTCCCAGCTCGACCAATCTGCTTCCTCACTTCCCCCCCAGCAAACTTGAGGATGACACAAATGTTACGATCTCTGAGCCTCCCTCTGGGATTCTTTATCTACTTTGATTTCTAGTTAGTTTTGCATCACTTCTATCACTAGGTTGTGCTCAGCCTCTCCCTTTTGCTGTTGCTTCTCTGCCTCTTCTCTTAGTTGTGTCACTGGGGATTCAGAGCACCTTTCTGTGAGGCTTATGACACCAACTTCTTATGTCATCCCACAGAGCCCTTTGATTCACAAGCTCCCTCCATCTCTTACTATGCATGCTCCATTAACTCCTCTTTCTGTCTGGACAAGCAGAGCCCCAGGTGACGGGTTTGGTCAGGGTGCCACTACAAGCCATCTTGTATGATGGGAAACTTATATTGAAATATTCATTCTCCCTGCTGCATGTGCTAATCCTCTGCCCCTATCAACCTTCACTCCCCTCAGCAGATAAAATGTTTGCCTGCTGCTGCTCCCATAATTATCAGCTTTTGACTTTTGAACTCTTGAAAATCAATTAGCAGCATCTGTTCTGCTTTCTCTAGCCATCAGTGTGGCCATGATTGCAAATTCAGACAGGCTGCTCTTAGCCTGTACCCTTACACCATTGCACACATTAGCGCTCCCTGGGAATGGGGCCATTTGCTCTGACACACTGTCAGCTGCCTCAGTGCCTGTAGACTCCCAGGACTTTCTAATGGTGCAACAGGGTGGAAAATGGTGCCACTACTCTCTGCCACATGGGCTTTCCAGAAATGTGTTCAGCCTTGATCATAGTCCATGTGAGTTTGTAAGCTTGTGTGACCCTGTCCCTAGCTTGAGGCAGAGCAGCGTTATGCCCATCCATACTTGGGATGTGGAAGGGACCTGCAGAAAGGAAAGAAGGATTTAGAAAAGAAAAATGGAAAATAAAGATTTCTTTTATCTAAAAATAAGAGGAAAGGGAACAGGATAAATCTTTGGATACCTAAATAACTGTTAAAAAAGGACATTATGGTCAGTTGCTTTTCATGCCCACAGTAGGCAGAAAGAAGACATCTTGCTAAATTTCCAAGCAGAAAGATTTCAGTTAGATACGTAGGGAACTGTCT